GCCGTATGCACAATCTACATGTTGCCCGTTGTCTGTGCGAGTCTTTCGTATGTTAGTACACAGGTCCTCCTCTATATTTAGTCCTATATGCACTTTCCACGTCCCGGATAAATGTGAACAATATGTATCGTAAACATCACGACAGTCCTTGTTTCATAATAGTATAACAAGCTATCACGCATATTCAAATAACTTAACACTGGTTTCGCTAGAGAAGCGGAAGATAATTATACTGAGAAGCATTTTCCGTAACCAAACTGCGAAAAAATCACTTACATAAAGTACATAAAGTACATAAAGTACATAAGATACATAAAATACATAAAGTACATTAAGTAGATAAAGTACATAAAGTACATAAAGTACATAAAGATATACCAATGGGTGTGCCGAAGCGGGCAGTAGAGCTGATGTACATTGATAAGTCCATGTCATCGTCCGCCCAATCCATTTCATACACTTGCACTTTGCGATAGAACTTGTCGTTTAGCAGATTCCAGTCTGCTGTTGGGTTCTCCATGGTGATTTTCAAGTATATATATATATTTATATAGTATTGGGAGGTCTGTTTATATGTATTTATTGCTTTTCGAAAGGTGTATATTTTTGAATATAGTTATTCGTTTATATCGACTGTATTCATCTATAGTTACCCACCACATATAATATGTCTACAGATATCATGTTTAAGTGCTCATTTTTATGTACGTATGTTTGCATAAAAATATCAATCTGCATAAATTTATATATATATTAATGTCATGCTCCGTAGTAGTTGGCGTTTTCTATGCGAAACATATCAGTTATACACCCCAATATACTCGAGTCGAGAGTGGTCAGAGCCTAGTGGAGTGCTTATCAGCTAGCAATGCCTACTTCGACCTCACCAGTGCTTGAGTACACTACCTGTCCTAGATGCAATACTATTATCTATCGTATATATACGTACATGTAAACATGTATTTCTCTAGGTACATACGTGACCATAAACCCTACGAGACTACAATACATACATATCGGATACACGGATTCTAAAGGGATAATATTGATGCATATTACGAACTGTATACAATTCTATAGGTGATGACCCTGC